ATTTATCACTATAATTAATTACTACTTCAAATATTATTGTGAAATATATTAAGTTAAATATAAATAAAATAATTTTGCAATTTATTATAGTTTATTATTTAATGTATTATTTTTATTGTTATAATTTTTTTATGATATTTTATAATTTAATGAATGATATTTGTTATATTTTGATATATTTTATTATTGTTTGTATTATATTTTTTATTTTAATTAATGGTATTTATGGTATGGGTTTGTTTTTATTTTTATTATTTGTTTATGTATTATATATTTTTAAACAAGTTTTAATAATTTTATTTTACATTTATTTTGATTAATTACATTTAATTTAATTTATAATTTATTCTGTTCCTCAAATAATTTTTTGGATAGCACAAACCTGATGATTTGGCCTTGGAGGAATTTGATGAGATGAATTAATAATATCATTATAATTAATTGTAATTAATTACTACTACAAATATTGTTATATAGAGTATGTTATAAATAAAAATATATACTATTGCTTTTTATTATTTATTAGATTTATATTTTTAAGAATAAAGAATAATAATTTAATTGCAATTTTATTTTGATTAATTACATTTTATTTATTTATTCTGTTGCTAAAATTATTTTTGGATAGCATAGACCTGATAATTTAGGAAGAATTTGTTGAGAAATGTTTAGCCATTGAGAGACTTTTTTGAGTGCAGACAGATCTGAACAAAGACATTGTTGAGATCTCTTTTGAAACCGTGTAGGAGACGAAATATAAATTCCTGTAGTCTTATTTTCAACATAAACATGAGAAGCAAAAGCCTTTCAATTTCATTGCTGTATAAGATAAACAATTGCGATGTTAAAGAGATTTGTGTGTTTATTTGTGCATGTCCTTTAGCGGAGCAGAGCCCATATACTGAGGTATATCCAGAGATGTGGGTGGAGCCTGAGGCCGCTGCGTACACGGCTCCGCCCCCTGCCAAGAAACCCAGGAAGAACAGTGTCGAGAAACCCAAAATCAAAGAGATTATTGATGAAGGAACCCGAGGTATCACACACACACACACATACAGTAAACCAGCTTCACATTTCACATATACTGTTCCTACTTGAAAAGCAGTGATTGTTGACGCTATGTTTGGTTTTCCTCAGAGAGACTCATGTATGAAGTCAGACAAAAGTCTCGCAATATTGAAGGTGAGTTTTCTGTTGAATTTGACCTTTGAATTAAAAAAACTCTATATATATATATACAGTA